CTTGTGAATATTTTTATCTATCTACTTACCTATATATCCATCTACTTATTTTGCTTTTCTATGCTCTCTAAATAAAATACAACTACTATTACATTTATGTAATCAGAAAAGCAATTTATACTGTTTTCTCAGTAGAATTCTGCTTATCTGGGTGGAATGAATGGAAACAGGTCTTAAATTCTTGCATGTTGTATTAAATAATAGAACTGCATTCTTGTAATCTACCTGCTTGGAGAGCATGACTATTCAGATTGTCTCAGAGTTTATAAAAATACTCTGTTTGCTCAAAAGCCTGCTAACTGAACACTTGACCAGCAGGGACGATGGCATGTGAGGGGTTGGGGGTGGGGTCCACATGTTGTTCCTGGAAAAGTAAGAAGCCTTGAGCTTGGATGAGGCTGTGGCCTGGATTTTAAGAGACTCAAGAAATGTGAAATTAATTTTGGTTATCAATAAACATATTTTTAAAATTACATCAATTTGTATAAAACTTTACTATTTGTAAAAGCTTCAGCAACAGCCAAATACTGTCTCAGAGGTTTATTTCTTCATATCACGTGTTGGTTGACCAAAAAATAGTTTGATTCAACCAGGCCATGCTACTCTCCAATAAGAGCATAACTTGAGTCGTCATACCTACCAACTGCTCAGTCTGTACGTTATACTCAATGTCCTTTTTTCACATTTTCAGATTTTTAAACGGTTAAGAAAAGATAGCCAAGCCTGTTAAACCTGGTTGAAATGTTGAATTTTTGAAATTAAAAAACAAACAAAAAAAATGAGCTAGTTGCTACAGAATCCTCAGATTTTATTTTTGTCCAGTTTTTCATTTTTAAAGATGTTTCAAAGATTTGTCAACTACATAGTCTTAATAATCATTTATTTAGCCAATTGGCAGAATCCAGAAGGATACACTTTTTTTCTTTCCATCTAGAAGGTTGATAATTTTGGTGTACTCTTATTTCAAAGTTGTACGTATCAAAGTCAAGAGGCAGATGAATATGATTTACAAGTAGAATGACCTTCAACAGGGCACTTACAACTTCCTGAGCCTAAGGTTTATCGTCTAGGAAATGGTGACATATGATAACATTTATTATACGTCACGGGCCCTCACGGGCCCTGCGGGCCCCTGTGAGTAGCAAATATGAGAGGTTATTTTCAGCCCCTCGCCCAAGTTATTTTTAAAATTTCCTTGATCCTTGATTCTGAGCATACAAGTAATACAAAGAACAACTCCTCCTTCCAAAATATCTAACTTATCTCTACCTCAGCATAATTTTTACAACTATAGGGCCTTTCATTATTTTCAATAGCATTATAATAATTTTTCTCATCAGGTGCTTTTAAGGAAGGAGTAGAGAAGGGAGAAAGAAAAAATGTAGAGAGATGAATGAGGACTAGACACTGAGGTGGAATTCTTCACCTAAACATGGTTTGTTCCAATAGGAAGAGAAAGACATTCCTTCCCACACAGATAATGAGTCCTTAAAAATAGACAACTTTCACCGCATCTGTGCAATAACTCAACTTCAGAAAAGAATGTCTTGTTTTCCATAGGAGTGATTAGAGGACATCATTGTCACCATTATCACCATCACTATTATTATTGGCCTTAGAAATAATAGTTAACATTAATTGGACCTGTACCTAGCGAGTACTTAAAATATTCCAGTGCCGAGCTAAGCATTTCACTGGTGTTATCTAATTCAGTCCTCTCAATCCACTCTGTTTAGTATTTAATTTGACTTTGCTTATGAAAACATTATTGGGGTTAAGTGACTTGCTCTAGGTCTCACAGTTAGGGCAGACCTAGAACTGAAGAACAGATCGATAAAGCTCTATGCTCATAACATTTGCATAATCAAGAGCAACTCCACGCCCCATCCCCATGGCATTTTTAGAATTGTCAGGGCACTAGTTTGGTCAAGAGTTTAGATATATTGAAGCCCAGTGGAGTTAGGAGGCAGAAGGGTGTTGGTACAGACTAGATTATCTTTCCTTTGGAGTGAAGTAAATAAAAACCAACCAAACAAAAAACACTGTATAAGTGATTTTTTAGAATTGCTAGTTCTGGTTGATTCAGTCAACCAAACTATTCTTAAGGTGTTAAAAAAGAATGTGCTAGAAACAACTTTATTTTAATTAGTATTTCTAAAACAGTTTTAAAGAGCAAGTCAGAGATGCAAGTTTTTCTCTCACTTACTAAAACCCAGAACACTGCAAATCATTATCTAGCTTGGATCACAGAATTTCAAGATATTTTATTATTCTGCATACATCTTTCAAGAATATTTACACTTGCTGTAGCAAGCAGCATTAAGGAGTTCTATAAATTTGTGAAGACTTTTGTTTGTTTAATTTCTTTTAAATAAACTGAAGAGGAATAAAAAAAAGAAGATTACCTCTGCTGCACATTCTTTTTTGTAGTTTAAACCTGAGTCACAATTATAAAACATGAAGGGAAAAGCCCTTTGTGACAATGTGTTTGGTTAAAATTTCTTTTGAAATACCAGTAGTGACTATAATTGTGCATTAAATACCCTGAAATCCACATTTTGAAATTTTCCAGAAACCATCTTAGTAATTCTCTCTTAAAGATAACTGCTGGTATAGTTTTGGAGTTATATAGTTTATATAGCTTCCTAATATGGAATTTCAGGCTACTTCGGACACCAATAGCTGGGAAGAATGAGAACCTTATAGAAGAGCCAACTGGTTGTTGTTGTAAGATACAGATTCCTAGGATCCGATAACTATAGCCAGCCGGCAAGGGCAGACTATTTGCACGTTCTGTTCTGTCACGGCGCTCGGCTGCCAGAGACGATCGCATGGGAACAGTTTCCTTGGCAGAAAAATGCTTTGAAACATAAAGCACATTTTGAAGAAAAGCAGATGCCCAAATGTAGCACCAAAATCAGACATAGCAAAAACAAAATGTATAAGCCAAGATTTTCACCTAGAAAATATAGTTACACTTTTTTCTTTTGCCTTTGGTAGTCATTATTAAAATATGTAAATTATTCAGGGTCAGGGGAATTATGCGAAACCTATCATATACTGAGTTCTTCTGTGAGTTCTTCTTGAGGTTCATGCTCTAAGACAGTTGTCTAGGTTAAAAGTCTAATGACAATGTCCTCTGGATCGCATAACATTTGGGGTAAGTCTTGTGAAAGATCATACCCACTGGAAAATAAGCTTCGTGAGGTCAGAGACTTTTTTAACTGTTTTATGTAACTGGTCTAGCCCTAGCACCTGAGGTACTTGGCACTTCATAGGTATTTAATAAACAGTTTTGAATGAATGAATGAAAGCAATGCCCCAGTATGTTTATGCTTTCAGAACAAAGTATATACAGAGTATAATAAAATGAAGGTCTCATTAAGGCAATAGTCTTAAAGTCATGGGAACTAAAAGACATTCTTAATTTCCTTTATGAAATTTTGCACAAACAGGGTCTTATCTAAAGAGGAAGTTTAGACCCAGAACATCTTACTCCACTCGCTAGGTAACTTGCCTGCACCATGGGCAATGAAATAGAGTGCAAAATGGGAAAGGGCTAAATAACACACTACAGGAAAGAAATAAAAATCTCTCCCCCAACTCAGCCCATCACTTAATCGTAAAGCACCACTGGGGCCGATACACCTGCCTCACAGCCCACGTGCCAGGTGCTTCCCCGGCCCTGCCCAGGCCGCCTGGAACAGGGCGCAAAGCCCCGATTCCGTCTTTTCACTTGTTCCCTTGTAGCACCGCACAGTGGTCCCTCCAGTGCTGGAGCTTCCAGAAGAATTCTGTAGCATTTGTCAAGGACTTAAATATTTGAGCTTGCTGAGGATTTGGGGCAGAGAGCTGCATTGCTCAGAGCCATCAGTCCACGTGGTCATTTTCCCCAGGAGCGCCCCCTGATTCTTACTGCGCTGGGCTGCCTCACTCCCCTCTGCTCCCATAACATCATGAGCTTTGCTCAGGGCACTAAACCATATTGACGCTGTCGGTGAGTAGCTGACTCCTTACTGAACCCTAAGCTTGTTACAGACCCGTGCCATTCCTGCATTGTCGCCTTGGGTAGCACAGTCCCTGAGATACAGTGGCGCCCCATCAATGCTGCTGAACTACTCCCTGCTCCCTCTGCATGTCTACATGGTGAAAATGAAATGCTGGTGCTACAACTGTCGGTGTAATTTTATATGGTAAAAGACACGAAAACAATAGTTTGGTGTTTCATTTCGCAAAGGACAGTCATTTCCACATTAAGAAACAACGGTCCACAATCTCAGGATGCACCTGAGCTGGTCGGGAGCTTGCCTACAGGTTACTGAAACCCAAACAGAACTAGTTGAAGCCAAATGAGAATTTTATTATAAAGGTACCAACATGTCTCATAGAGCCCATAGACAGGAATGAGGCTACACTTTGAGAACACCTGTAACTGGGATTCACGCTGCCAGGAAACTCTGTTTCGTCTCTGTATTTTACTCAGTGTTTTCTCAAAGCTTCTCTTTCTATCTGCTGGTCAGCTTCCTTTTTTGGGGGGGTCCACAGGAAGGAAAATATAACTGCCAATAGCTTCAAAGTGCACATTTTTATAACCCAAAGAAGACTGATTTCAGTTCAAGTTTCCAATTTCCCCGAGAATGACTTCAATTCACCCAATTTACCAAGTGCCCATCTTAATCCAACCACACGCAGTTGGAGGTGGATTTCAAAAATACAGCCAGGGTATTGGGCAGTCAGCTCTACAGATGCCCACCACACTTCCAAATGCTCTAGTTTCTAAAGGAAACACATGGTCAAACGCATTAATGAACAGGTTCGGCAAAGTATAAAGTGTTTAAAAGCAAGAGTGTCCAAGTCTATTTCTATTAATAATTCATGGCACCAACAGAAAATTCCCAAGTAAAACTATGTTTGCTTTGTTTTAAAAATAAATTTATTTTATTACATGAAAATATTGATAGTTTACATAAACAATAGTATATGCAAAACAATTATAAAATACATTTTTTTAAAACTATGAAAATTTTTGAAATTCTTTCTTGATATCAGCCCCACCAAACTTCAAAAGCCATCATTAACGTTTTAGGATTGAAGCAAAATTCCCAAGCCTGTATTGGCTTGAGGGATTCCATTGGCCAGCCAACCTCAGTTCAGGGAAGAAGAAACATTTATATTATGGTTTTGTGTTTGTAAAGGCTCTAATGGGCATTTGTTCTAAGCCTTTTTAGTATCAAAGAAGACTAAGGAAGAGAAAGGGCACGAGTAATCCTGAAGGAAACTCTTGAAAATAAGGCACAGACAACACGAATCGGTTGGATATAATAATCCTGTCTCAAGGATGACCATTAAGTCAAGGGAAAATAAAGATTTTGAGAATTATCAGTTTTTTAAGTTAGCTTTTATAGATAGGTGAACTATTTCTGTATTATGTATAAGAACGGCCCCTGCCTCCCTCAAAACACTATGGATGCTAGAAGGAGATATAAAATTTCAGCTTTTGTCTGAATTTTCCACTTCATTTTGGCTATGGAATCTATATTGCAAAGTAACATTTACAGAAATTCAAAAAAAAGAAGTTGCTTTGTTGACAGGCACAAAGTACAACAATGTGAGGACACACTGCATTTATTTTTGTAAGTGACCCACCTAGTCAATGTAGACAGTTCCATATTCTATGGCATATTGGCTAACTGTAGATTTCACTTTTTCAGACTTAAAGTAGTCTTTATTAAATAAGCTATGGAGAGAAGGAGCATTTGGTAAGATTGACCAGGTAACGGATGCTATGGTTACAATTTCACCACACCAAAATTTACCTGAGAATGATCATAAGCACTGTTGTTGAGAAGAACAAAAATGCAGAGATGGTCACAACCAGTCTCTGCCTGGGCTCTCTCACTGACCACGACGCTGACACAGCCACCTCTTCTGGTGTTGTTATTTATACTTTATTGAGCATAAACACTTACCCAGGGCTTAAAGAATGTCAGGCATTTACTTTGCCATCTCTATTCATTTCCCTAGCTATAGGGCCAATGCATTTGCTTTGATAATGTAATAATTTATTGATGTCAATGATAATTTATAAAGGAGCACAGAAACATGATAAAAATCAATTCTACAGCAAATACCGTGGTAACAGTGACACAAGCCAAGACTCTGCATCTGTGTTCTTGCAGGAAAATGGCTGTGACTTCTCAGAATCATAGCGAAACTCAGTTCGGTATAAAATCCTGGATTATTGGGTTAGGTTGCACCAACTCAGATTAACAAAAATGATGGCTAAGAGCACAGACTTTCATTTGGACAAATCTTGATTCTAATTCCAGCCCCACCCACTCCTAACTCTCTATATCTGGATTAGATTATTTGATTTCTTTGGCCCTATCTCTATATCTGGGAAACAAGGATCATAATATGTATCCCACTGGTTGTTGAAAGGATTCAATGCAATAATCTATTTCACACTCTTAGCACATGGTGAACATTTGATAAATGACAGTTTATTATTAATTCAATTCCAAAGACCTAAACTCCTTCCCACTGTTTTTTGTTTGACTAGGAATGCTGGTGACAAAACTTTAGTGGAAATTTATTGAAATTCCCCTTCTTACTTTTGCTACCTCAACAGGTGTTTTTTCCCCAGTTACTAAACAATAATAAAATTAATATTATTATTATTAAAAACAATAATAACACAAACAGAAGTTACAAATAAAAAGTAAATACATTATTTAAAATTCATTGCTACTAGCTGTTTTCCTGAGACATGCTCTGTCCTTTTCGAATGAGCAAGGCATTTTGCAGGCTGCCACCGTCCTGGAGGTACCTTCGTAGCTGTGGGAATGAAGAAAATAACATCAGATCATTTAAAAGAAGTGTATTATGAAACAACAATAATAATAAAATCCAGAGCCAGCATTTTTGTTTTCAATTCATTAGTGTTGTCCTCATAATAAGATAGGAGAGCATTATAATTTTTTGACAAGCATTTACAGTACCCATTAAGTTGCTGGGATTTTCTGGAAAAGGAGGATCTTTGTACAGCTGAGAGAGCCACAGAAAGTCACTGCTCTCCCACGCTGGATGTGCGAACAAGAAAGTTCGCAGCCCGATCGCTGCTGGCCTCGCCTATGGCGTGAGAGAAACTGACTGAGGGTGAAGCCAACTCTTTGAACAGTGAGAAGAAAAAGAAATAATCTGTTTCCTTAAGTGTGAGCCTCTGGGTTGACCATGTGCGAAAGCCACCTTATCTCTGGACTGCCTGCCATTCATGGGACGTTGCCTTAGCTTTAAGGCAGTTTGAGTTGGGTTTGATGTTATTGTAACCAAAACTATCCTGCTTGGTTGTGCCAGTTACGGCCCGTGTTACCCCTTGAAACCTTTTTCTGCCCTGCTCTGTCTCTAGGGGGCTGATCACCAAAGATTCCATCACCAGGGCTCCACTGCCCTCTGGCTTCTGGTTGGTTTTAGCTAGCAGGAGACACTTGCCAAAGACCTGAAGGCAGGAAGAGACAGAGTTTGGGGTGTTTCCCCCCCATTTTCTCTCTCCATCCTTGTTTAGGTTCTAGCAGAGGCTACTCCCTCCTGCCTGGGGAGCTCTCCCTTAGCGCTCCGCCCAGTGCCCGGTAGTGCTCGCCCCTGGCCCTTCCGAGCACAGGAAGGGGAGCAGCTCCCACCATGGTCAGGCTCAGGGACCCTCGACATTCCTCGTGGGTTCCCTTCAACCAGCCCCCCTGCAGTCCCCTCGTCAAAATCTCTTTATTTAATCATCTAAGAGGATTTGTGATTCCTGCTGGGAGCCTGATATGTTAATAGCATTTAAAGAGCTCAGAACACGGGTATATACATACATAACGAGTGATACGTGCACCATCTGGGGGATGGTCGTGCTGGAAACTCAGACTTGTGGGGGGGAGGGGAGGAAAGGGCATGCATTGAAACCTTAAAATCTGTACCCTCATAATATGCGGAAATAAAATTTAGAATTGTTTTTCACTAAAAAAATAAAATAAAATAATAAAAAAAAAATAAAGAGCTCAGAACAGAGCTTGGCATATGGTAAATATTCAATAAATGTAGTTATTGTTAAAACATTGCTACTGTCATTTTCCTTCAATGTAAGATGACTGAGTTAAAATATCTCTTCTCTGTGCCCAAAAATAAGAAAGAAAAAAATTATAAAATAACCATCATAACCAAACAGAAAAAAAATGCCTATCTCTGTGGTAACATGCAGAAGAAAGAGATGAGAAAGTCTTTTATTTGGCTTCAGATTCTGTGAAAAAACATCAATTTATTTTTAGATGTTTTTGAACGTAATCAAATTCCAATCAATGATTTATTGGGTACAATTCAGCCCCATCTCACCGGTAAAATGTCACCTGAATAGTTTCTCATTTACCAACGTTCTCCTACTTACCACTAAGCAATATTAGTTTCCTGAACATCTTCATTTATAGGAGTTATATCTTTACCCAGAGTTTCCATTTCTTCTTCCTTCTTCCTTCTTTTACGACGTTTCCGAAGAGGACTTAGAAAATAATGGGTTAGAAATTAGTATGGGCCTGTTAGTTCATGTGAACACAAAATTATTCATCAAGAAAAATCTATAATTTTATTTCCAGGCTGTTAAAAACGCACAGCTCCCTTTTTTTTCTTAAATATTTTGGGTTCTCTTTTAACCCATCTCTTTCTCTAGGCTCAAATAATAACTACAATAACCAACAGTGTGGCTAGAATTTAGTTATCGAAATAGAAACAAACAACCTGATCTTTGATGGAACTTTGTTAGCCAAGAAAATGTTTCAGGCCAACTGATGTTACAAAAAGACAGATGAGTATTATTTAGTGTGTAAACAAACTGGAAACAGGCATAAGAAAACCAAGCGTGATAGTAGCCACTGGATACATTAATTAAGCTTCTAGATGCAGTAATTAAAAAATGTATTAGATATTCTGGATGACAGTCCAGTTTTCTTAAGGTGGAGTTCAAAGTTAATGTAACAAAATGGGTCATTTCCCAAATTCGCCCAGCTGATTCTCTGCCCCAGATCTGACATGATAAATATTCCTTTCTACCACGAAGTAAGCAAAATAAGAAATATTTTTCAATTTTATTGCTAGAAGGAATCCTACAGATTATCTTGTTTAATACTCCTGTTTCACAAACAATAAAATTAAAGTTTAAAGACACTAAGAAACGTATTCAGACTTTCCAAGGTACATAATGGCAGAGCTGGGACAAAAGCTGAAGACTCCCTCTGGGCTAGCGTTTTTCTCCTTAACGCCGCATTGTTGAAACAAAGAATCAAGAGACACCGTCTTTTGGTGTGGACCACAGGGCAGAAGTAGATACAAAAGTTTAGGAAGCTGGGCAAGGTTTTCAAGAGAAGACAGCACTTTAATAAAATACACCTTTAGCATGCCAAGTGGTAGTCCTGCTCTGACAAAAAGAAAAAAGAAAACAAAATTTGGTAGGTTTTCAAAAGAAACTAACTTAACTAGAACCGTGCCAAGACTCTCAGCCTCAGAAAAAAGCAAGGTGTTTCTTGACTTCCAAAATTAGTGTATACAATGAAAGTAAAAGAACAAAAAAAGCATAATCATGGTTTGCACATAAAATTTATTATTGTAGCATGACCAAGCAAAAAAAGAAAGGTTTTTTTCTTTCTATCCTTCAATCATTTTGTCATAGTATCTTTTTAGAAAATAAAAGTTTATTTAGCCTATAAACAAACTCAAAATGGAATTGACTTTAGAACTAAATGATTGCCTTTTTATAACTAGATGTATACAAATTCTGTTTTAAGTTATCATGGTGTTTAGTAGAATGATAAATCATGTGTCACGTGTTTTATTATAAATACTTCAGTGTCGATGATGGCAACGCCCAAAAAGTATTAATAGATTTATTTAAATCAAAGGAAAAGAGAAAGCATAGACAGGAACGAAAAAAGAAGACAGGAAAGAAAATAACGAGCAAGAGACAATTTATTAGATGTATTTAAAATTAAGTTCAAAAATACTCACTGACAGCAGGTGCAGACACCAATGACCAAGATGATAAAAATCACCATAACCGCGATCAAGCAAATCACCAAAATCTGTCTTCTGTCTCCTCTTAGGTAGAACAAGTCTACTCTCTCACACCTTGCCCCGGTGTAGCCGTCATCACAGCTACAAAAATAAAACAAGAAGAGGACGGTGAAGTAAAGAAATGCAAGGCTTTTAACAATCTCTATTTCCTTTTTGAAGAAATTAACACTGGTTTCATTACTTGAAATCAATATAGAACATAGTTTCTTTATTTTAAAAAGAAGCTGAACACCACTTTGCTCATGAGTAATTTTATTTCCTTTGTTTTGCTGACAACCTGTCGTCACTCGAACATTATCAATGTGTCTAATACAAATACACAAGAATGATGACAATTGACTACAACTTATTTTAAAATTTTAGGCCCTGAGTTTAAAAGAGAGAGATGCTAACTTCCAGCCATAGTATTTCCAGTGCTTAAATTTAGGCCTCCACGACAAGGAATTTAAAAATCCCCAGGAGTCCCCATGTCATGGTAGGATAATGAGAATGATTTCGATGTGGGCAAGCTCTCTTATAAATTACATAAAAATTACATTGTTTTATAGGATCGAACATGGCAATGTATGTGAAAGTTCATAACCTAGCATCCAACCCACAAAAAGGTACATAAATGTTATTTCTACAGAATCTGGCTTTCTCGCTCTCTCTCAGTAAATTCGACCCATCCATCCGTTCTAGTTCTACTTCTCGCAAAGGGTGTGTGGCGGGGTGGGGAACGAGGGGTCACACATTAGGTACCCCCTGCTGTTCTTCTTCTATTCACCACCTACCTACCCAACGTCCCCGAACACAATAGGTCTTGTCCCCTCCAGTTCCTTTCTGATTCCCAAAACTGTCCCTGCGCTCTCGCTATCTCAGTGGCCTCTCTTTCCCCCCTGGTCCTCTTTAAGTGGAAGGCAGCAAGCTCCATCAGTGAAGCTGTCACTTCCCTCATTCTCTCAGTTCCCTGTCAATGTTGTCTTAGGATGTGCCTCAGTTCAGCAGATGCCCTGTATCTCTGAGGTCACAGTCGCTTGACCAAGCTGGGACTTGTCGGAGCCACACCCAGTGACTAAGGGTTCAATGATTTTAGGACTCCTACAGAATTCTCTCAATTGTCTCAGAAGTTGTCAAAAGTTTGTCTGAGGATGTTTTAACCCAAATTACCGGTTTAACGTTACTACCTTGGTGTGAATGAATGTTTTCTCTTTATTGCCCTCAGAGCGATTCAGAGCACAAGGAGACACCGGTCATATACATAACTGTTGAAATGTCAAAAAGATTAAATTCTGCTCCTTGGAAAGATTTCTACTCAATCCCATTTTTCTTTAAGAAAGGATTTACTGCCAGGCTGTTTTATAGTTTATGCTTGACAAGAGCCAAGGCAGTTAATTCCCGCAAAGCCTGCATTTCTCAAGTAAGGAGGTCCCCTAATGCCAGTATTGTGGCTGATACAAGGCTTCAACAAACAAACACACAAAAAACAAGTTAGTAACAACTATCCACCAAGGTGAGGCACAAGGCAAGCAACGTAGAAATGACACCGAATGTCATCTACAGTCACAAGAGCACAGGATGAAAAGAGAATAGCTCCCACAAGAGAGCCAGTTACTTCATTCCAAGGTCAAAATAACAGGAAGAGAGCTCAGAAATATCTTGAAATATCAAAAATCTGTGGAATGTAGGACTGAAACTGGGGTGGGGAGAGGGTCCCTTTTAATCGCATATATGAGAGAGAGATTTTTTAAAGAGTGTTTATAAGGTCATAATTAAATCTTACAAATGTGGTCTCTTCCAATTAGCTTAAATATTTCTCTAACAAATTTACTAAATATGGCATTTTTAAACAATAGCTTGACCTACAAAATGCATGGCAATTATATGCTGCTCTTTTAGAATGTTTTTCTAATTATGAGCTCTGGGTTCAGTAACTTCAAAATGCTTTAATTGAATTTCTCAGCAAGCAGTACTTCCTGCAAGTTGTAACCTAACAAAGCCATGCTAGAAGGTCAAACCTTAGCATAGCCAGTGACAGAGGCTCACACGTGATTTAGCTCTTCAGCAAACCAATAACATATCAGCAGACGGTCATTTTCAGTGAATGTATCTCCCGTGTAGGAGAGGAACAGGCAGAAGGAGCAAGATTCTAACAACTGTTTATTAAATGGTGAATAAATAGGTTTTATTTAATAAACATCATATAAAATAAGATTTAAAAACAAAAAATGATTTTTAAAGGTCTCCATGACCCTTGAAGACACTCCAAAATCAGGCATTGGGATCGCTTTTCTGAAATAACCACAGACACTGTTCTAGGAGGTGTATAAGTATTCACTAGGTCAGTATAACAGCCTTTGAGGCAGGTGCTATTTAAGAGATGAAGAAACAAACTGAGGTACGGAGAAGTCATGTGAACAGAGCTGGGATTTAAACATAGGCAGTCTGGCCCCCAAGTTCACGCTCTTCAGAGCATATAAATAAATTGGGCTGCATATACAAATAAAAATTATGTATCTGAAAATAATTTATCGCTATTCCAAGAAAGTACTGAGAAGACTAACAGGGGATTTGAATTATTTGAAACACAAATAATTTTTCACATAATGTTTTTTCACAAATGTTTTTCACATAAAAACAGGAGCCCACGAACTCCTATGATCCGAAGCAAAAGGCGATATTTCTGGTTTCTCAAGATGGCATAGTCACCAGTGGCAAGACAGTTCTGCCTGAGTCCGTACTACACTGAGCCACCTACGAGGCCAGTCCGAGTCTGAATGTCTACCACTTATCTCACCAGTGCTAGTATGAAACACTTACTCTGTGCTGGGTACCATAAGCATTTTTGCATTTATTATTTTGCTTAATCTTTGACACTTGAGAGGAAAGTACCACGACTCCCTTTTTTAGATGTTAAAACTGAGGCTCAAGGTAGGTCACTGACTCGTTATTAACGCTGCTTACAATTGGTAAAAACAAAATTTTACCTTAGTTCTATCTGACTCCAAAATCCATGTCCTAGTTCCCATGATCGCCTGTCTCCCATTTTTGGGGTATTGTTCTGCTACTCAAAAGCTGTCCCTGGTTCAGATGAAGGCCTTGGTTTTGAAATTTAATATAGCATTTAGATGAACTATAATAGGGGTGCTTATTCATTCATTCCTCAGTCATTTCTTGCATAATTAGTAAATCCTAGGCGCTGTGTTTGGCACCAGGACACAAGCATAAATAAACCACCAGCCTGGCCTTCTTCTAGGAGCTCACGGTCACAGAAGCACATCCAAAGAAACCAACATTCATGCTCTGGTGGACGGGAGCGTTCACGGAGGTGTGCCTAGGTGGCACGAGGAGGACATCTAACTCAGACCCAGGTGGCAGCCTCAGAAGGAGGAAGCCAACTCAGGGCCAGGAGGAGCTGACGTGTGCAGTCCATCCTAAACCGTCAGTAGGAATGAGCTTCCAGCTCTGAGAAGAGCTTATATGATGCACCATGAAAAGGACGTAGGACTTTAGAGGGACATTTGGGAATAGGATGAGAGACATAGCTAGAAAGTTAAGCCAGAATCAGAAATGCCATGGAGGCCAAGAAAATTAATTTTAACCTCAAACTGAAAGGGACGAGCTGTGTGCTGATCTTAGGCAGATAGATTACACACTGGTTTTCATTTTAGAAAGCAGCAATATTAAAGAACACTAGATCTACAGATATAAGGACCAGTGGGGAAAAATGTACTACTGAGTTAAAGAACATTAATATTTTTAAAACTAAATATGTGCTCCCAAGCCAGTGAGCAATTAAATGAATTAAAAATAAAAATCAGCTCTATCCTTCCCAACCCACACACATACCCATCTCCTTATTTTCTTACATTAGCAATTCTTACTCCAAGTACTATTCATGCATATTTCTTTTTTAAATTAAATTATAATTAAATTTGGAAAAGGTCCATGACTTAAAGTTTCCAGAAAATTAGAGTTTGGAATCACAGTCCTGACATGCTTATAGAAAAATAAATGTGTACTGGGGAACTGATCAGAAGAACACAAACCTTCTGTGAACTTCAGGTCAAAATTGCACTTCTCCTTGCTCTTCTAAGAGTAAAAATACCAGGCAGAACTTAAGAGGTGCATCTCTTTAGAGAAAATGAATATTAAAAACGTGCAAAAATGCCTTGCATGTGCCTGTGTAAAGTTAAACTTGTACTCTTAACTGCAAAGAGTTGGAAAGAGAACTTTTCTCCCAATTCTCTCCTGTACCAAGCAGGCTTTATTAGTCTCTGTTTATAAATTAGACTATTTCCTCACACTTAACTGGCACCTGCAGAAGTGGCTCACTCTTTGGCAGGAATCCCCTTCATCTATGCATTAACTGCAATCCACCTAACACGGGCCAGCAGAATTCCTCTCCACGGGAACCACCCAGGAGATTATTGGAGCTGCAAAGCACCCTTCACGCTGGGCAAAATCAGCCTTGCTTGCGCAAGGAGGCAGAGGACGCGGCCCAGCCTGCAAGTGGGGCTGGACTGTCACATGCTCGTGTTTCAGGAGGAAAGTGTGCGTCACTTTCTCCGCGAGCCGCTGCCCAGCGGGCCTGGACACAAGTGGCAGGGCGCTGTCTGCACAGATGGCAGGGTGAGCTCAGACCTTCCCGTCCCATCGAGCACCAGGCGGGCACGACCCTGCACCCCTCTGCCTGCGGCTCGGGGTCTCCACTTACACGCAGGAGGGCGTCTGCTCGGCCACCACGAACCGGCATCTCCCTTTGATGCAATAGTGCTTGAACTGCCTGGGGCACCGGGAAAAGTGGCCCTTCCGCTTTGGCTGTGTGGTGGTAGCTGGAAAATGAGAAGAAGTTCGACAAATCAACTTGTTTCAATATTCATTGGTAAATAGGATCATATTCATATCTTGCTGCCAGTTTTTCTGTAGAATATGCTCCAATCTCTCATTTGTCCTTCCTTCCACCCGGGGATAAAAATCAGGCATAGCTCTAGAGACTGACTGGGTAATGGGAATGGTGGTGGGAATGTTTCATACTTTAATGAAGATTTGTAGCAGACACAAAAGTTCCAGAAACTTTTATGTCATTTAAAGAGTAAAACGTGGCTATGATAAGAGAGACGCTTTCATTCCATGAAGGTTATCAGAGCCATGTTGGGGAAAGGAAGGTTTTTCTCGTTTGGTTTTTGGTTTTTGATTTCCATTCTTGTTGTCGTTAAACTTAAACACTTACGTAACGTTGACTGAGTGCTAGATGCTGGTCTATTTGCTTTTCATATATTATCTCATTTAATGCTCGTAACAGCCTTGCGAGGTAAGCACCATTCTATCTCCAGTTTATGGATAAGCAAAGCACAACACGTGGAAGTTAAGTCACCTTCCAAGATCACACAGCTAGGAAGTGGCAGAACTGGAACTCGAACCCAGGTGATCTGCCCCGAGTTCAGGCTCTTGAAGGCTACAAGCTGTGGCATTCTGTCCCGCCAGCTGGCCAGCGGGTGCCTGCCATCCACTCTCAGCCTGGCGTGTCTGGAAGTCATCCACTTGCCGCAGTGGGAAACTGTGCCTCTCTTCTGGCCCATGGATGCTTTCTTTCACTTGCTTTAAAGGAGGAAAATACTGGAAGTGTCCTGGACTGGATTCCAACCCTGAACTGACTCCCTTGTCTTCCTACCTTTTCAGAGCCTCGATTGCCTAATATTCAACTAAGGACAGCAATATAAAACAATTTCCCCATTACTCACATGTAAAAAGTTTTAATAAATAACAATTGTCAAAAGACACAGTACAGATATACTAACTAGCTGTTTCATGTGTTGATTTACAACTGACATATGTCCACACCCAGAGAAAGCAACAAACAAGCCAGCTCCAGCTTGGGGTCAGACTTCCCATGTATGTGGAACAACCGACAGCTTGCGGGATCCCAACACCCGTGGAGCCAGGACGACCTTACAGTGTTTTCTGTAGAAGAGTGTTTCACACCAGGTTTGGTGTGGCACCTGGTATCCTAATCACATTAAATGGTCCTTTTATTAATAGCAATGACTACTACGCTTCCTAATTAATATTATGAAATGAGTGCTTATAATTGCTCAGGGCCACCAGAGAGAGGAATCCCAAAGTACTTGGGACGATCTATACACTACAAATTCCCGTGACACCAGGTCACGGTGCAGAGTTTCAGGGCATTGCAGAATGTCACTGAGGGACTGGCTGACCTGATTTTGGTTGGTGACATGATCACCACCCTTGCTGGCTGCTGATATCACAAGCCAGGTATTGTGTTCCCATGCACGCCACTCAATGGGACTCTGGTCAGAAGCATTGAAACTTTTAGCAGAAATAACTGCTAAGTGTGTCAAAGGCAAAGATCTGTGTATTTTGACAAATAAATTAAGTCAACTCCCATTTGCTGAGTGTTTTCTATTCCCAGAGCCCTGTAGTGTAGACACTGGGAAGTGTCAACAAAATAAAAAATACCCCTATCTATCTAAATTGGTGTAATAGAAAAAATTTAAAACAATAATAAGCAATCAGCCTGTAAAAACAACCATAGTAACCAGATAACAGTTGCAGTGCACTGGGAACAGTGGAAAGAACACTGGATTAGGAGGAAGAAAATGTGTGTTTAATTTTCACTCTCACTGCCTTTTCCTGGAAAAAAAAGAAAAAAAATAAAAATTTTCAGCTTTGCCTTTCTGTTTTCAGCTGTAGGAGTCTGGCAAGCCATTAAGCTATCTGAACCTTAGCTTCCTCAACTGTAACTTGAAGATGATAGCATCTACCTTGAAGGGCTGTTGACATGTGCAAATACAACATACATGTGGAAGTTTTTAGTGGAGTTCCTGGGATAGTAAAGTTCCCAGTAAATGGGTTAATTCTAGAACTTTAAAAATCTCGGCAATCCTAGAAGTCACCTTGTTTAAGCATGAAGAATGCTTACCTAATCAAAGAAAAATTTCTGGAAAATGTAGATGTTAGAAGGAGGTGAGAAAGCAATTAGGTTATGGAGAAGGTCAAGAACAGGGCACCAGTCAGGAGTACGCAGGTCCAGCGCAGGGGTGGGAGGCGATTTAACTGAATTGCAGGGTCAGGAAGAACGCGGTCGAGGATGGCTGTGTGTGGAAGTTAGAAACCTGCAAGGTCAGTTGACTGAAGTGCAAGGCAAGCAAGAACTGAAGATGGTTCTTACAGATGACATTAAATGGTATATAAGAAAGTACTTTAGGGTCGGACGCAGTGGCTCACGCCTGTAATCCTAGCATTCTGGCAGGCCGAGGCAGCAGATCGCTCAAGGTCAGGAGTTCGAAACCAGCCTGAGCAAGAGCGAGACCCCATCTTTACTAAAAATAAAAAGAAATTAATTGGCTGACTAAAAATATATAGAAAAAATTAGCTGGGCATGGTGACACATGCCTGTAGTCCCAGCTACTCGGGAGGCTGAGGCAGCAGGATCGCTTCAGCCCAAGAGTTTGAGGTTGCTGTGAGCTAGGCTGATGCCACGGCACTCTAGCCCGGGCAACAGAATGAGACTTTGTCTCAAAAAAAAAAATACTTTGAACTATAAAGCATTCTATCAATGTATTAGATAGGAGAGCACAGACTGGATTAGAGCAGGAAAATGCCAAGGGGAATGAGAAAACCAGGGCATGCCTGAGCCATGCAGACACGTGTGTCGTGGGCCTGGGCCAGGGCAATGGAGGGCAAGGCTATGAATCCAGGAGGCAGCAAGACTTAATGACAGATCTGGCATGAGCCAGGAAGGCCCTTCCTGTTTTGCAAGGCATACCTGCCTTTAAATATAAGTCATTTGGCTATGTGTCCTAAACTTTACTAATTCCTCTAGCTGCTGTGCCCCTTTAAATGCACCCAAATTTTAATGAACACCATACAGAGTATGATACCAAAAAGCAATTAACCAGCAGCTGCTGGAAGCAGTGATTTGATCAGCCTCAGCTCATCCAAAAAGCACAAATCCATGCCAGCGAAATGGGTGCCAGGTACTGTTTTGATGGCTCGCAGAGCTCCCTGCTTTGCCAAATAGGCATGCTCTTAAGTATTCCCAGCATTATTTAGATTTAAAAACCTTTCCACACCACCAGGCAGAAAATGTCCAGTGATTTCTCCATGGAACTTTAAAATATGAATGCAAAATAAATCACACATATTGCCACAAAAAGAAAAGAAAAAAAAAAGCAGATGGGATTGTTTCTTCCTCTCTCATGGAAATGAGAAAGCTCATCAGCATTCTCTCTTTAGAATGCACGGTTCCTTTCATCCAGTATTCGTCAAGGTCCACGTTATCTGCAAGTTGAACAACTGTGGAGCCTAACATTTTCTGCATGTCCTGAGTCCGGATGATGTAGAGCAAGCAAGGGCAAACTTCAACCTTCCATTGCAGAGATGTTTACCAAGAAGAAGGACAAATTAACTGTGTGACAAAGAATGATCAGGTTCCAAGGGTTGTGTTTCTCTGCTGAGAAGTGAATGACACAGTCCTGAAAATGTAGCAACCAGGAAGGTTGCCCTGATCCTGGGAGTGGTGGAACTGAATTGATCTTTTTCTCCCACCTTACCCTCTTCCAACCCACATTCCCCAAACCAGAGCAGTCTCCTGGGAATGAGCCTGCCCCACATCATTTCACTAGGGAACAACACCCACTTCGGGGTGGATCACGAATGGATGGGCACCACAGGTAACATCTCAATCTCTTCACAGGACACTATACTCCAAATATTCTAAAAGCCAAATAAATGAGAAACCATTAGGGTTACTGCAGGTCAGTGTATGTAAAAAACTGATTTTCTAAGAGTTTGCAAAAGGAATCGAAAGCAAGGACATCTTTCTTAGTTCATACGGGCAATTAGATAAGAAGTGGGCATCCAACTTGGGTCAGGAGGATAGTTAGATGAGATGTAACAGATTCCCTCAGGCTAAGACAAAGTGGAGGACTACAACTGAAATACAATTGAAACTAAAGGAGTTAGTTTCAATATGCGCTTTTCCTCAATGTGATGAATGCTTTGATTAAACATACCCTGGTTGCTTAGTCTCTGTCTATTAATATATGATTCCAATTCTCAGGACAAACGAGGCGTTGTGATGCCTTTGTGGCTAAAACTCTTCAGAATGGATACATTAGGATTATTTTTCAAAAAACTTTCACTTATTTAACAGTGCCCATTACAAATCTATTTAACAATTTTGTAAAAGACATTAACATTAGCAACTTTATTCTGAAGTCAGCTTTAAGGGCCATCAGTACTACAATTATATTATTACAATGCCTTTTTACAATACTTATTACAACGGTTATAACCGCATAGTATCTCTAGCCCCTTAGTTAGACATAGTTAAACCTCTCTGTGACAGATTTTAAGGAGAATGCCAAACAGAGAAATAGATGTCCCACAGGTGTTAACAAGGAGAAAGAGGAAGGAAAACAAATAAATATAAACTCCTCCTCCCACACATATAACTGACCTAAAAAAGGAATATGAACACACAGGAAGGAATAGAGCACACAAGACAGTGTCCATGGTCACGGAAGAGTCTGGGGGAAAGTTTCTTCCTCGTCTAGGAAGCAGAGCCTCAGGCTTTATGATTCTGTTCCTTGGATTCTGGGACTCTTCCCAATAGAGGGGTCCTCATTTTACAACTTTCTTAAGCCAAAATATGAGGAAGAAAGTTATATATTTTTTAAGTTAATTTTTCTTCTTATCTTACCAGCTGCCTCGATGACTCAAGGCAATGTAAATTCACAGTGCCCTTGAAATAAAAATTTGGAAATGTATTATAATCGAGGATTCCCACTTGTCTTACCTCCAGTGA